GGGCGGCGTACTTCAGGCAGTATCGCACCTACAAAAAACAATGCCAAGAACGCAAGAAGCAGTACTTGCGCGATAAAATGGCAGAAGCTGAGATTGCCTCCAGAAAGCACGATCTTCGAGGCGTCTACAACATAGTTCGCAGTCTTGCCCCCAAAGCACCCAGAAGACGCACGCAATTGAAGGGTAACGAGGGTAACCTGCTTAGCAGAACGGAGGAAGCCATGCTCTTCTGTGCGCGCTTCAAGCAGAAGTTTACATCCACAGATGCTTGGCGCTTCGACGCAACTCTCCTCTACGATAGCTCTGAGACAAGAGATCGTAGTGAGCTACAACTAGTCGATGAAGCACAGCTACAACAAGACCTGCTTAAGGCCCCCTTACGCAAGGCTGTTCCGCCGGGCCACCCTCCGAGCGCTACCTGGAGACTCTGTGCTGATCTTGCGGCCACAACAATTGCGACCGCCCTGAATGGGAGCTGGACATCTGGCCCCATCTCCGTTCCCCAAGGCTGGTCGGATGCCCACCTTGTTCTGATTAAGAAACCGGGCAAGACAGGAAGAGACCCCAATCACCATAGACCTATCGGATTGCAGGATCAGCTTGGGAAAATCACGTTCAAGCAGGCGCCCGTTCCCATGGTTGGAGGTCTTCAGATAACTGTTGACCTTGCGGCCTTGCGGGCGCGTTTGATGCAATGCCCAGACAACACTTATTAGCAGGTCTTATTGGGGTTGGAATCCCGAACAAGGTCATAGACGTGGTGATGACATGGCATCAACAGGCAAAATACAGCATAAGGCATGACGACCAAGACAGGCACATAGAGGCATCCCATGGGGTCAGACAGGGGTGCTCTGTTGCCCCCACCCTATGGTTGATATACTCACACCTCATAAGTGTCAAACTCGCTGAGGCGATCGGCGCCACCGCAGCACATGAGTTATTGTCCATCTTCGCTGACGACTATCACTGTTCGACAAAGTTTACGTCATTGCATCAACTTGAATCCAGACTCAGCCACATAGGTGTCTTGTTTCGGATACTCAGGGATTTAGGAATGACGATTAGCCATCCCAAATCCAAAGCCATACTCATCTGCAGAGGTAAAGGCGCGGAGACCATCAAGCGCAGATTCATCCGCAAGACGCCGCAAGGCCGGGTATTAAGATTCTACTTTGCGCAGGAAGCAATTGACATCCCTCTTGTTGATCAGTTTGTCTACCTTGGAGCAATAGCAAGCTACAGGGCATTCGAAGATCAGACTCTCGAGCACAGGCTTCAGATAGGCCAGGCCAAACCTGGAGATTGGGCAGAATACTCCGCAGTCGGCACTCCCTCTCCACGCTGCATCGTCTTAGCATTTGGCGCTCCTGCGTACAGTCAGCCAGCACGTACGGCCTCACTTCATGTGGCCTTACTGCAAAAGGGGCGAAGAAACTAACCCTTGCCACAATAAGGCAGGTCAGACTCGTCCTTGGCGATCCAGTATATATGACGCGCGCATCACATGCCAAAGCTCTCAAGGAATGGGACCTGCGACACCCCATTACTGAATTAAAGCTGAGGATGCTTAATGAAGGTAACGCAGGAGATGACCCTTATGTGCAGCACTCCAACCAGTCCTGGTGGCGGCGTGTGCTGGACTCCCTTATTGTTCCCAGTGAGGACAATCTGGTCCAGATCCCTCCGCATACCCAGGGCGTGGCATGCCCCACCTGTGGAGTCATGTACTTGAATCGAACGTCCATGCTGATTCATATGTCTAAAGCCCATAAGCAAGACCCCCTCCGACCCGTCAACCAGCCTGTGATTTTGACAAAAGCAGAGATGCCAAGGACGGATTGCGCATATGTAAGCACTGTGACAAACCCATGTGTGACTGGTCCAGCTTGCGCAAACACATACTCGAAAAGCGCTGCCCAGTCCTGTTCAACAAAGCACATAGCCAGCATCAAACTACTCTGGATGATGTGGGAGCCGCGCAGGCGGCCCCATCCACATTAACCGAAGTAGAAGTTGTACCGTATGCTGAGCGACCTGCCACTGTTGCAGCCCTTCGCAGGTATGGTGACAATGCCGCCTTTCATCTACCGGACCGTCAAGTGCTCGCCCGGTATTGTGCCCTCTGCAATCAATGGACCACAAGCTCCAGTAAGATGAAACAGCACTTTAGATTATCACATGCTGAAGTGTATCAAGAGTTCATGCATGATGCCTGCAACCTTTGCTCGAAGTTTAATAGTCCCGACTCTCCTTGTCCCCATTGCGGCTCTAGGTCCAAGGTGCCTAGGCAGCACCCCTCTCAGTGCACCGTGTTATGGCAACTAGGCGTGCTTCACCTGCGTGGTCTAAGGTATGGACTCGGAAATGAGCTGCTCCAGGCCCACGGAGAGACGATGTCGAGGGAGCTCGAAGCCGGCAATCAGGGAGCGCGGGAGGCCAAGTCACAGCGGACCGAGAACGGAAAGGGGCGGGGGCATCTACTTGCCGAAGAGGACGTCCGCAACGACAGGGACAGGATCTGGACCTCCACCAAACCGTGAAGGCCCTGGGAAGACTAGTTATCCAGCAGGAGACCGCCATCAAAGTCACAACCGGGACCCCAGAGTTCTCTCCAACTCCTGTTCAAAGTAGAACAAGTCTGGAAAGACAATCAACAAAAGGGTGCCGTAAATCGGCCCCTTCGGAGTGTCTTGATCACTTGCCTCATGGAACACCTTCTGAAGGTTCTGGAGGACTTGAAGGGGCCACTGTTGGAGAAGGCGCAATCACAGGGTTGGCTCACAGACAAGGTGGCAGTACCAGACGTGGTCTCCGTCAATGGGAGCCCTGGTAGTCAATCCAGACAAGATCCCAGTGCCCACCCAGCAGATAGTGCAGGAACTCAAGGAGATCATTCCGCTACTGTCTGCGCCGTACATGGTTCACAGGTTTCACGCGAACAGAGCCATGAAGGAAACCTCGGACAAGGTATCGGCGTTTCAATTGGAGGTATCGGGTCGTACGGAGGGCTCACACAAAATATCGCACGTCTTGGAGACACTCTCCAACTGCTCGGTGCTACAGACCATAGGAATCCAGCTTCGCAGAGATTCACTCCGCCACTCACCGGCGGCGGAGCTCGTGCAGAAACTCATGAGGCTCAGACTGCTGAACAGTAGCAACACATGCTACATGAATGCTACCATAGTTGCATGGCTCCATACCACCAACCGTCTCAATTGCAATGACAGGCAGGCATATGGTTCCAGGATGCAGGCATGGCGGGACATCACTCAGTCTCTCAGACCATTACATGTCCACACCCTTGCATCATGGCGAAGCATACTTGCAGGTTGGCGTGACCTACATCGACAGCAGGATGCCAGTGAGTTCCTCGAACATTGGGTAGCCGTCGGTCGGCCCCAGGCTGTGGTTGGAACGTGGGAGGCGAGGATAGAGAATCACCTAATTGAGATTCGGCATCATTCCTCTACTGATGTGGCCTTGAATCTTGATCTTGAACAGTCACATATCCCGCAAAGTCTGCAGCACCTCATCTTTACATGGCACACCCAGCAACTCGGCATTCAGGCCCTAAAGAGTCCCCCCATTATACTTATGATCAGATTGTCCAGATTCAGGCAAGTACAGAATCAAATGCAAAAAGTCACCACCCCTGTCATCATCGAGCCCCGCTTGAATCTCCCAGCGTTCGATGACGATACACTGCAGTGCACCAACGTCCCCTATAACGTTTGGTCTGTGATCCTGCACGCTGGCCATTCTCCACATGCAGGCCACTACACCAGCAGACTTCCGACAGCTACTGCTGATGGTGCTTCTGGTGCACAGTGGAGCACCGATGATGCTAGGCCAGCCAAACTCATCATGAGAGCAGTCATGCACGACCAAAATTTGTCACAGCAATCATACATTCTCCTGCTTGGCAGGGGTTCAACAACGCACGAGCAGTGAAGGGGCAGGGGATACGTCACGCTGGGTGCGATTGCAAAAAAGTTCAGCTGACCGGATGAATCCTGCAGCAATAAACAATTCAGCATCAGTGTGTGGAAAACAGGTACCCCCAGTGAGCCATTTTTAGGCCACTTGCAGTTTTGTACACTCTGAGTGTCAGTGAGCCCTTTCGGGCCACTTGTGCAGCGCGGTGTATAGTGCTACATAGCTCGCTGTATAGCACCTACATCCACATCTGACGGTAGCTTGATAGTTGAGGGGTCTTTCACGGGCCATTCGTGGCACTGACTCCCACAGTGGATTTTGCGCACATGATGCGCCGGCGCAATGCGAATAGTAGTAGTAGTAGTAGTAGTAGTAGTAGTGATAGGCGTTGAAGACCATATCCCTCAACTTCCAACCTAGATCCGTAAGCACGCAAAAGTCTATACCCTCCACCATCAGGCCCCCAACCCCAGGAAGTGTGTTTAGAGAACTTCCGTATTCGGGTCTGCCTCAGGATGTGGAAGCTTTCAGCTTGGAGTTATCCGTGTAGACTTTTGCGTCAGGGTGCCATGTTGTGGTCCAACGTATTTCGTGCCATAGTCCGGATGCTGCCAGAAATTTGACAAGAACTGAAAGGTACTGGGATCTTGCGTGTAAGATCTTTCTTTGTGCTTGCCAGGAGCCTGCTTTCAGGGTCTGCCGATGATAGGTGTAGGAGTGAATTGGTTTGAGATGGAGCAACAAGTAATTACTGAACAGATATTAGACCCCAAGTAGGCAATAGCGACCAACAGTGTGCTTCATGTTCCCATTCCTGAGACCAAGACTCAGACCTTCTACATGGGGTCTTTCTTAAATCCTATGTAACCCTGCGACGCTCCTCTGCACACAATGCCCCAATTCTGGAAAAAATGACGGGTACGGATCCCAATTCATTGCGTGCTGGTGCTCAAAGGGCAGCGGGGCATCCAATACTGTAAAAGGGGCGATCATTGGGATCCCTACGTCCTCTCCCCTTAAAAACAAAATGGGACTAAGTTTAGGGGAGGGTGCAGCAGGCAACGGGATGCTCCTCTTTCGATTGGCTCCTCTTCTTGGCCGCTCCGGGAGGCCGCTGACTTCAGCTCAGGATTTAGGGCGTGTGTGTGTGTGTGCCGGGGGGGGGTGGGGGGGGATTTGCGCGTTTTTATAAGGTGCAGTTTATGTTCTAGGGTATCTTGTAACACGAGGTTTTGGTGTCTGGAGTAGGATTTGAGCTCTAGAGTCTTCGGGTAACTTGGTTTCGGCTTATCCGACAAGAGGTAGACACGTCAACAGTTCACATACACAGCCCTTTGTGACATAGATTGGTTCTCGACAGGTAGGGCTTAGGGTGCATTGTTTAGGGCTCCCTGACGTGCCATAGATTGAAATCTTTTGTGTCACATTCGCAAATAGGGGCCCAAAGTTTCCAATCACCTGTTGTAAGCTTCTATCTAGGGTTTAGGGTTACTTGATCTGCATGGATTTGCATGCGCTAGTCCCCACACCTTAGACAATCCTTTTGCAAGTATGCAATCTTGATATAATTGGCACCATCCCGCAACAAATGTATTGTCAGGCGCTCGTTATCATGCATCTGTATTTCCAGCAAGATTGTGTACCCCCCATGCTAGTAATCTTCAAGACTTTGCGATGTTGGTGCTTCTGCTTCTGTAGCTTGAAAACCAGTCAAGTGTTTGGTGTTAATGGGGGCAGAAGATTTTTCTCCTTTGCTTGAGGTGAAAATATGGCAGGGAACATCATACTTGGGTACTTCTCCAAATGGGCAAATCTACACTTACAGCCTACTTGCTAAGTCCTTCGCCCTTCGGCGTAAATTCGTGAAATCCAACGCCCGTTTCACTTCAGCACGAAGGCCATGGATTGTAGATCATATGACAGGCATTATCTTGTGGATTACATAGAGCTCTCTTGGGATCTCTTATTTGATGCCCTGCTAAGCGCCAGGGACTTGAAGCGCTTTAAGTCCGAAGCTTGTTTTAACATTTTAGGCCAGAAGTTGACTGGATAACCTGTGCCTGGAAGTATGAACTGCCATGTTTCCGGCGTACACGTTTCTGGGATTAAGAGTTTGGGTCCTATGCCATACTCCAGGTGATTCTTAAAAGCTCCAACCTTTGCAAGGGAAACCTCAGGCTCTGAATCCTGAAGCCCTGCGCAGCCCGAAGTTCTGAGCCCAAATGTGAACCCTTATTCCAACGACAGGTACATTGGCACCGACATTTCCAACCGAGCTTTAGAGACCGTGGACGAGTTGAAGCGCACACTTCCGCAGAGACTTGACCTTTATATTGGGATAAAAGTCCCTGACTATTTCGACTGCAATGTAGGGACCAATTTAGCTATAGCGTTTTGTTTTTGGATTGTAGTTATGTGAGAATACCGAGCGGAAAGGAATATCACACGTACCCTTGAGCAGGGTCTTGCACTTTTAGAGGGTTGGGGCAGTATCCAACCTAAGACTTCAATGGCAGCTATCTTCGCTAGCCACACACTGCTACACTGTGACTCTAGAGTCAATGTTGCCATCTCCTTTCCCACACAGGCACTCAAGCTGGATACGGCCCAGGATTCTGCACCCCCATAGTGATAAAAATAGTTATAGTCACCAGTAATAGTAATAGTAACTATAACAGTAGCAATAGTAGTAAGTTGCCAAGGTATCAGCACCTGAATGTGGACACGAAGGCGCTGGCTGCGCACGAGATCTTCGAAGTCTGTCAGGTGAGAAGCCGCAGCATTCAGCATGGGGAATGGGTTCTACGGATCGTGATAGGGTTATAATGAGGGACCCTATTGGGACTACCTTTTGTTTCCCTCCCCCCATTTCCAGCTAAGCCTGAACGAGATTGTTTAAGTCCTTTCCAATGGATGTTGGGCCTATGATGTGATTTTTTTGGCGGTTAGGCTGCGATGATTGCAAGACTTCGCCAGATATCCACAAGATTTCATAAGAACGCATGTGCTTGCATCATGTGTACATATGCACACACTTATGGGAGTTTTCGAATCGTCCATAAGCAATCCTTAAGGGCGACCTCCATAAACACGTGACAATCCCCATGTATCCCTGGCAACACCTGGAGTCCCCCTTTTGTTAGCCCGAATGATAAAATGGTACTGTACGGGAAGACTTTTTATTGGTTGTGGAGAGCAGCAGCTAGCCTCCTTTTTTGGGTATGTCTAGTGAAGCATATTTCAAACCTTAACCATTTTGAGGGGGAGCCAAAGCAACTAGGAGGGGGAGGGGATTATAATGAGATCCCTTAGTACTACGGAGTCTAGCCTTCCAGTTATTTATAGTCCCCCTTAAGTAGATAGAATATGGGCTATATGGGGATTATTATAAAATGCCCGAAGCCATATTCTATCTAGTTAAGGGGGACTATACACTTTGCCGTGTCTCTTTCCCCTGGCAACATTTAGGGGTTTTCAGGATTCCGCACTCTGCATGGACGGTAGACCCTAAGCCACACTTCGCACTCATCCCGCTCCGCTGCAACCAAATGCGAATTCCAGTGTGACATTTTTTGAAGGTCAAGGACGTGTGCTGAGGGAGGCTATCAAGGCGTCCTTAGGAACCCTAGAGCCAGCCAGCGACGACGAAGTGATAAATTGCATTACCGTCACCCTCATTTCCAGATGTCCAAATCTCAAGAGACTTGGAGGACAGAGGCCTGAGCCCTGAAGTCCCCAGGCCCACACTGAGCGGCGGATCCTTCGTTGCCATCATGTCAGCCTTGGGTAGCGGCTAATTCTAAGAACGAGCTATTTAATGTACGTATGTAGGTAGACATATACATTATCTGCACACAAATTGCATAGGCTTCTTGCAGACAGAATCCTGCTCCCACAAAACAGAGTGAAGCTGAGACTGTCATGAACTCCTATCTTGATGCCGGCAAGATTTTCGGGATCGCATTCAGGGTTTAGGGTTTGGGGTTTGGCTCACGCACAACCACGCAGCATCAGGCGAAGGAGAACGACATCGTCCTCTGCAACGGCGTGACCATGAACCTGGGCTAGTCAGAGTCATGGTTTAGGGTTTAGGCTCGTCAGATTCCACCGCCACCGGCGGACCGGCCCACACTCCAGAGCCCGGACCCCATAACCGGAAACATGGAGTTTGACTGTGGATGGGTTCGGGAATTTGAACTCATTCATAAACCCTATATAGCCCCAATATACTCGAGCAGTGTCCATTCCATCTTCCATCATCCCCATATACCCCAATTTATCAGGCAGACAGCAACCCATCCACCTCTAGGCTGAATCCCTTCTACTGCTTCAGGGTTGTTGTCAGGCAATCTTCTGGGCAACCAGCTGATTACAAGAACCTGGCGGCTTTAGGGTTTAGCGTTCAGCAAGTGTCATCCCCCAAACAGGCCTGGAACCGCATGTGAGTAGTCCCCAATATAGTAGAGTAAGATCTGATCCTCCTTTTTGCTTGTAGTAGCTTATAAGAAGAATTCGAACCTATTGTGTTCAACCACCAAGAGACACTCTGATGGTGTCTTTTCGGCTGACAGTTTTCTACAGCAGGGCTGCGGTTTCGTTTTGTTTTTGGGGCGGGTACGCTCCGGTTTCGACTTCAGGGTTTAGGGGAAAGTACGCGGCTGGAATATTACGAAAAGTGTGTGACAGGCATTCGAGGTAGAGTACACTACAGTCATACAAGGGAATGGGAGTATAATGTACTTGTTCAGGTTTCCATGCCAAAAGGAGTTCTTGGAGACTGTGTCTACTAGTGAGTGATTTCCATCTGTTCAGTCCAAGATTTATGACTGTTCTGTTCTACGTGTGGAGGCCTAAGCGCAAGCAGTATACTTCCCATAGGGCCTTACACAGTTGTAGCATACTAGACAACCAAACCCAAAATTTCTAGGCCCCTACACCTACGGCTGGATCAAAACGAAAACAACTTTTCCCTTGACCCAATAGTCGTATCAGTATATAGCACGGACCAAAAGTATGAGCAACCCCATGGGAGGCGGGGTTTGGGGAAGGTGGCGATCTACAGGGAAACTGTAGGGTTCAATCTTAAGCGTGTGCAGATTTGTTTTGAGAAGCTTCCATACTCATAGTTTTCGGAGCAGGTGCGGGGACTTGGACTTTAAACTTTCAGCGCCAAGTCATGCAGCGCATGCCCGCAGCACGGTCCCAAGCTGGCTGCTCCAGACACGAATCACGAACCCCCAGCCCAACAAGGGATTGGTTCAGGGGTAGTTGGAGATAGATTTTACATGAAGCGCGGCTCAAAATGACTGAAGAACCTCAAGTCAAGGCCGCTTCGAACTCAGGTATTTCCCTACAGCAAACTACCTGCTGAAGTGCATGCAGCTTTCTGCTGAGGCCGGTTCTGTCACAGATGCAGGCGGTGGGAGGTTAAGACCCTAAACCTTTTGTAGTAGCTGGCTCGCAAACCGTACCATAATCAAAAGGCTAGTCCTTCTTGCGCCAGGGAACGCAACAACTAAACCAAAATCCTAAACCTTTCAAACCCCGACCCCTCACCCTGAACTAGACCTCAGGGATCCAACGGCCTCAGACCCAAACATCGCTGACGAGATGTTTTGAGTGTCCAGTGTAGGCCTGAGGGTATAGGATTAAAGGTTCAGGGCTTAGGTTTACAGTGTAGGATTAGGGGCTGGGGAGTCGAGCGTTGGTCTTTGAACGATTGTGGCCAAGATTCCCCCCCGATATCAGCCACGAAGATTTCCTGCCAGCCATTTTACGTGATTGACTTTCCCGAACTCTGAGCTATCTCAGCGTGAATTCTCCCTAGCCCTCGACTTCTGGGACATTTGCTCTCTATCTATATATTTCAACATGCTGCCACAACACCTTATGACGCTTCTAAAGTTGAAATACTGGCTCATTACGGGGACGCGTTGTTCATTTCAAGATTGACCACTGTTGAACAGAACAAGGGAAGCCAGTATTCAAGCCCCACTGTTGTTTGCCGCAATGCTGTCGATGCCTCAGCGTCAGCCAGAAGACATTGCCTCTAGTTGGGATCATACATGTTGTCCCACCATTACCTTGCCACTGGGGTTTCGCGGATGCTCTTCAGTACCCATCCGTCGGGCTGTCACAAGTAAGACCTCCAATGCAACGTCTGAATGCGGAAGATAGCACGCGAAGCCAACTGCAGCCTTGCTTCACAAATCTGATCAAGATCTATTCAGGTATTAAGGTGTCAAGGCCAATTGGCTTTTCAAAACCTGCCCAACACTGAAGGATGCTTGTGACTTTAGCCACGGTTGACAGCTTTTGATGACATCAAGCCTTTTCTCAATGGTCCATCATTTCCTGTGAACTTACATGGGTCTGAGAGAAGGGATATGGAGCTCTGAGCTCAGGAAGATAGGTTCCGATAAGTCCTTGATCTTCGCCGAATTCCACCTATACTCTCTATGGGCAAAATTTTGTTTCACTGGTGATTCACTCTTCGAAGTAAGGGTTTGACATTTTCAGTTTTGTGCACTCATTTCCAAGTTACATACATTAATTAGACCAAGGTAGGGGAGCCAATCTGGAAAGTTTCGGGGCCAGCCAGAGAATGCCTATCAGTCCCCCACCCCCTATTTAAAGCATTCCGGATATCATACACTGTACCACAATGGGGATATTTGATATATGGGGGTGGGGGTTTTGTATTTTAGGACAGGGTACGTCCCTAAGTCTTGGAGTTTAGGTTTGGAGCCTTGTCAGCCTGATGGAGCCCTCTCAATTCTTCGCATTTACGGTTTGGGCGCTGTTCCTACTACGAGCCACCCCAAGGCATACTGGTTGGTACATCAGAATCTCTTCAATTCTTTGGGACCACCTCATCTAAGTTTTGACACACCTGGGTCCCTGCTTGGACGCCTTGGTCTTCGGAAAATCGGAAATTTGTGGCTCCTGGCAAACCCAGCCAGATCCTCATCAAGAACTCGCAGACAAATATTTTGTAGATTCAACAAGCCTAAAACCCAAGACCCTAAACTTTAAACTCCAACCTAAAAAAGCCAAATCGCAAATACTGGACCCCAACAGCCTGGACATCCTTGGTATTGATTTCTGTTATCAGGCCACCCGCGATGGTGGCCTCGTGGTCTATGGTGATGTGCAGAGCCGCCGACATGTGCTATAGCGCCAACTATAAAGATCTTATCTGTTGGGGTTTGGTTGAGAGTTTAGGGTTAAGGGTTTCAGAGTTGAAGGTTCTAACGACCTCATCGCTTTGTAAGAGAATTGGCCCAGAATGCCTCCGTTTCAGGTTGATTTCAAGCTTGGACATGCTTAGCGGCTTAGCGTGCTTGAGAGGAAGTGGGGGTGAATATGGGTACGCTATGGGGGCTGTATATGGGGTTACATAATATTTATATAGGCATATAGGAAGGAAGCCCTTCCCCACTTCCCCTTCAACCCTATACCCTATATACCCCTATATATATATAATATAGACCCTAATATAAGCCCGTATATCCCTATGTACACTATAGACCCCAATAAACTACGCAGCACAACATTGAGCTCCGCCCAGGTGCTGGCCTTCCGCGCGCACGTGGAGACGTACCAGGCCGACTGGCCGTTTACTGGGTTGCTGTTAAGGAACTTAGTTGCAGTTGTTATATTATCCCCTTATATTGGAGAATCAAATGGACAAGAAGATGGAAAATGAGATGGAAACTGGAGTAATACAGGGACTTAAGGAACCTAATTTAAGTTACTACATTTGGGAAGCCCTATTACTTACCATATATATACACATACCCAGTATGGTAACTTCATTTACGTTCCTCAACAGCAACTCAGTTTAGGGTGCAGGGCATGTACACGGCTTTCCTGGGTCCCTATAATGACTCAGGTGTTCAAGAGAAGGATTCGCGGGCTCTTGCGGCCTCTGCACTCGAAAGCAAAGAGCTCTGAGCACTCCTCAGCTCCCAGTACACTCCCTAAATTAACATAGAAAATCATATGATCCCCTTTTTGAAGGACTGTAGTCTCTATAAAGCCCTTTTTGGGTTTCCATGTTAGTTTCCGGGAGTGTATCTTCCAGGATTTCTTCAAGGCAAGTTGCTGCGCGCAATCCTTGCCTTTCTAGGCTTCTTCCGTTGATCAATGAAATCTAGCGTCCATGTCTCAGCCAGAAGGATCTTATATCATCTTTAGCAGGGGCCCCCCAAATTTCTTTTCGGCCCCTGTATGCGTTAAGGCGTTAAGGCCATCACCCCGCAAATCCACTGAGGACCCCAATGCTGCTGCGTGCGAATGATTTGCAACGTCATATTGAGGTCGCGTTTATTTGAGGCACCCCATTTCCCAGTCATAGCAGGAATTCGGGGCCTTATCAATGATAGTTGTTTAGGCTCATGCATTGCCTTAGTGGTGTGGGCTTTAGTGTTGTTGCATACCAGGAGGTTCAGTGATATTCTGGCCCCATGACAATTCTAGTTCTAGCCCAACTGTAGCATATTTTCGGAACTTGTCCTGATGACCAAGAGTCACAGACAGCTGTATGCTTAGCCTAGACACTCCCTGAACCATGTATATCCCCCTGGACAACAGATCCTCTGGAACCCTTTATGCGTCCAAACAGAACTGTGAACCAATCACCATTTAGAAGCCCCGCACCCTGACATCCAAAGCTCGGAACTCCAAACCCTAAGCCCTGAGCCCTAGACGTTAAGCTCTAAACCTTGATCCCTGAACTTTAAGCCTTTAATTCTCTTGTAGTCCTGAACATAGGGGCCCAGGGTCGAGCCGAGGCTCTCCGCCGCCAGGATGCCACAGCCGCAGCAGTGCTTCATGCTGCCAAGCAGAGCGTAGCAGGCTGGACTGCTCCCCATTCATGAGTTGCCAGGGAGAATCACGGATGGAGCTTGAGGCCAAGGGTTCGGAGTGTTTGGTTTGAGCGTTTCGGGCTTCAGGGTATGGAGCTTGGGGTGCAGGATTCAAGTTTGTTGATGCATGTTTGAGTTGTTTGTACGCCAGCACTCTCCAGGCAGGTGTTGGCTTTAGAGATGAGGTGTAAGTCATTTGGTTTGGGGTAGGGTCCAGGGATGAGAGTTCTGCGGGTTTCAGCTAATGAGCTTCAGGTCTTGGCATCTAGGCTGTGAGGTTCAGGAAGTCATCTTTGAGTGTCCGCCTTTTTTGTAATGCCAGACCCAAGGGGGCTTTTGCCCTGGTAAAGGGTGCCTTTGTTCAGTACCAAAGAGCTTCTCAGCCCCAAAGACATAACTTTGGGCAACCCCATAAGCTCTCTGTCTGAGCTGGAGTGCAAAATTGGCTTACAAGTGCGGGTGTGCTTAGGTTTATAGCTAACTGCCGGGAACCTCCAAGTAGTCCCGAGGCTTCAGCAAAAAGGAGCTTTGTTCATCCCCATCCTGGAACTTGAACTTCGTGACAGCACCCCCCCTTATTTCATGTCTTGAGTCCCTGCGGTAAAGCCAAAGTACCCTTGCACCCCCAGACGCAAAGCCCGTGTTTGCCATTTTGGGTATCATGTTTGATGAGCGAAGGCTAGTGGCAGGTCGACGCAGAGTATGCCCTATGGGGGGTTTCTAAAAGTTTGGGGTCCCTTGTGGGGGTCCCAATCAGTATAAGATTTAATATAGCGGTCTATATAGGGGTGCCCCCATTTATGGAAATTACCATATGGTCATATGGTTTATTCCCCCAAACGGGGAATTTTGGAATACCAAGCTTGGACTACGCTAGACCTTAAACCGCGTACACGAAGCCAAGGTAATGAAGCCTAACCCCTAGAACTGCAAAGCATAAACCCTGAACCCTAAACCCTACAAACGAAAGAAGGATTGGCTGTCGTAACTCAGGTGAGGAGCTTTCATACTTCGATGATGCGCTTTTCCAACGGTTGGATCGCAGTGGCCACAAGCTCTTTGAGGAATGACTTTTTTTTTTTGATATACATTTTTTCAAGCCTGCCTTCGGGTCTAACGGCTTTCAGCTGGCAGGTTGGTGGTTCATAATGTGTAGAGGTTGCGGGGTTTGGGTTTAGGCTTCAAGACGTAGGAGTCTGCGGTTCATTGTTTAGGGTTCAGAGCTGGGGGTGTAGGATTACCAATGCTAGCATACGGATCTCAGGCATTTGCAACAAGTTAATATGCAGCTTCCGAGGTCGTCGTGGGAATTCATCCCCGCGATAACCCCCGTATAGCCATGTATAATGGTACTTATGTTACCTCCCACTCTCCCTGAGGTGCTTCGCGTTCAGTTTTTTGCAAGAACTGCGCTTTGATGTTCAAAATCCCCAATTCACGAACTCACGGCCTCAGGCCGTAAGCACCCAACCATCACGTGTATGAACGCCCCGCAGGAACACCAAAAGTACATTTGCTATTCTATGAATCCACTATGTTACCGAGCCCAAAACCCAAGCGCAAATGCGACATACGCTGCCCTGAGCCCAAAACCCAGAACGCCAAGATCACTTTGCGTATGCCTCCTTATCCCTCTACGGCCCTCTAGTGCTGCCAAACCTGAAACTCCTAGACCCTGGTAAGCCCCTAAATTAAACTCCCTAAACCAAACTCGTAGGACCGCCTCGCGCGTGTCGAGCTGCGCGTCAAGCGTGGCTGGTGGCACTCCGAGTTCAACCGCTTCCGGTCCCGTTGGTTGAAAGAAAGCGCTTGCATTTCGGGCTCCGGGTTTGGGCTTGAGGGAGATGTGGCATTTTATGGGATCAGGGGTGTGGAGTTTTTGTTTTGAGGCTTAGGGATCTAGGATTAAGGGGTGGTGCAAGGGTGTGGGGAACACTGGAGGGATTCTACAATGGTTCGTTTCATGGCAAAGTCAAGCGAACATGTAGGAACGTGATTTTGTAAGGTTTTGCAGGGACCGTGTTTGGATAGGCTCAAGCACCCAGCGAATTGTTTGAGAGGCAAAGCCTAGGCTAAGGGATTCCGTGACCTTCAGCGATCCAGTGCTTGCAGCTTACAGTTTTTTTGGGTTATAGCGTTTCAGTGTCCAGTTGAAGTAGGTTTCACTAAACGCAACTCTACACCCCCAATGCCCTAATTCAGAGATCTAGTTCAACCTCCAGGCAGTTGGCCTGACTGACTCACTTTCAGGCAATGGGGTTGAAGTATACGGTGCAAAAAATGATGTAATGCAAGTGATTCATTGCAGGTAAGGAAAGCATTCACGCTAACCGAGTGAAAGTCTATGGTCCTTTGCATTCGCACGTCTCAGTTACAATGTATATTCCTATCTAGCCTGTATCATCCTTGTGCTGCTGCTCTAATAGCTTGATAGGGTGGCGCTCACGTTCACAAGCACCCCTGAACTCTAACAGCCCAACCTGACACAATAAACCTGAACTCTATCAGCCATGGCTTCGCCATGACAGCCTAAAACATCTGCGATGTGTTTGAACTGTGTTGGTGGGACTGGGTTTAGGGATCTGTGGTGCAAATCACGAGCCATGGGAACTGACAGGCTAAATGCGACTTTAGCAGGTGGTTGTTGGGTTAGCAGAAGGGAAACGCTACCCTGAACGGGGCGCAAAAGCGGCATGGAACAACAGCTCACGTCTGCTGGGGTCCTGATATTGTTAATCCAACATCACCCTAAGCACATTGGCAGTAGTCACGTATGGTGTCAGGATATTGAACCTCCATAGTTGCCTTCCTTACAATGCGTTGGGTAGTGTAGACACTGGAGCAATTACTCGTGTCATTCCAGTACAACCCTTGAATTAACAACAAGGCAGAATATCTACCAAAACCTTCTACTAATCTTCTAGGCCCCTTCAGTAGTCATTTCCCTGTGAGCACTGCAGAGGAAACTCCAATTTTGTCTTCAGCATGCTCCCACTCCCTAACTCCCCCGAACTCGCAAGAAGCCAAATGTAGGACCCCTTCAACAGCACAGTAGTCTGTATCGGTCCATGTTAGTTTGGGAAAGGTTCCTTTCAATATTCCTTACAAAAGTCCATATAGACATAGATCTTATATACAGAGGGAATATATCCAATATTCAGAAGTGTGGGAGGCCTTTTGTAGACCCGTAAGATCCTGCACTATACCCTAAACCTACCCAGTCCAAGGTATGACGTCTGGCTTGTCCTGGGCGAAAAGCAGGCGTGGATCTCCTTTCGCAAGGGTACTAAGGTTATGTGGGAGGTTATCAAGGAAGGGTACCCTCGAGGACGCTTGACAGGGATCATAGGTATATTGAGAAATGCATGCGAGGATCAGCGTACAGTGCTTGGTGTTTAGCCTTTCTTGTCGCGATCAGGTGCACTTAGGGGCCCAAGCATACATGGGATTCCAAACAACAAACAAAGTCTGATTGCCTTCATGAGGGGACATTTCCTTTAGTGTGGATGGAGAGAATCTTGCTCCGTCGTATGTAGCGCTAGATGTTTCCTATCCAGGGGTTGGAATTTAGGGCTTCGGGCTTAGCGATAGGTAAATCAATCACGGCCTCGCCTTCCCTCGCGGAGTCTACCTTCTGTGAAAAAACATACCATCATCTCCGTGTTTACAACAAACCGCCGGCCGCTTTTCAATGATTATTTCAGGAGTATACAGCAGCTTATATTGGGAACATTCATTTTTGCGATGGCTTTATTCTGCGCAAAGACAAGGCAGCGTGACTGCATCCTCTCAGGACGCCGGAAACACGCGCCTCAAACAGCCATGAAATCTCCGCAGTGGGCTGGTAAACTACTGCCCTTCAAGATTAGGCTGTGCGGAGCTCTGTGCGCGTGCTTGTGTTCATTTCGGGGAATTAGACAGCAAAATTGCAAGCAAGGAAGAACTCATGTACACAAGCTTGAATACCACCAGCATTCAGAACTCTCTTATAACTACACAAAATGGGCCCCAAACCCTCTATAATTAGGTCATTACGCTTCGCTGAGAGAAATCCGAGTACCAGACTGCAATGGAAGACCTTTATGTTTAGTCATAGGCTTACTTAGGGATTTCCTTAACACAGGTTTTAGGTTTGTTCACCATGCCGAGAAGCACCAACCGTCCGGGACCCCCAAATCATTGACCATTAAACCTTTATCACCCAAACCTACCTCCGCAACGCCTGCAATCTGAAATTTCAGGCCAAGGAACCCCAATTCGAGATGGTCAGCTATGAGCAGGTTCGACAGGAGCTTGGGGTTTCACGCGCAAGCTCTATCTTGCTTTGGGAAGTTGATCGGGAGACGTTGGACTATGCAGTCTTTTGAGACAACATAATGCGGGGGCTTTCAGAAGTAAACCTTAAACCCCTGAGAAAGGTCAGGATCTGAACAGAGCTCTGCCCACTAAGCTAGTCGTCCATGCAAAGCCCGTCCTAGACGGCACCCACATCGACCGCCCATTGGACCCTAAGCTCTAAGGGGTTCAGGGTTTAGCGCTGCCAGTTAAGGATACGCCCCGCAAATGCGGCGGAACTTTGAAACAACAGCCAGTCGATCAACTACTACTCGGGGAGTTGAAAACTTGACGCATGACCCACTGGCGCTGAAGAGGGAGTGGGGGCGAAAGTCCCAGCAAGGTCCCGATACGATCCTTGAACTATTGCCTAATAAACAGTACTTATATTCACTCCCCCAATCCTCTTAAGCACCGCGAAAGATGATCAGCGTTGGTACTACACACTGCCAGCTACTGGGCCGTATTGGACCCCTATTTGGAGAAACCCCCAAGCAGGCGATATTGAGAGATGTCCTAAGACCTGTGAAAACCCTATAGCGACTTGAAGGGTCCCTCAGGGTTATCTTGGTCGCTGAATTTCATGACAGCCCATCTTCTACCAGCGTCCATTTTTCATTTCATTCTCCATTCGATTTCCCATGCGATTTTCCATTTGAGTCTCCATTATCGGGGTAATATCTCTCTGCCTTATGTACCGAAATCAGCCTACTTAGTCCTATTTGTCCTTATATAATCCTATACAAGCTTCTCTATCCCCATATTGTCCTACATATCCCTATATGATCCTACCCGTCCCTAATCTTTCATATCCCTGTACAATGCTACGTGCTAAAGCCCTAAACCCTACACCCTAATCTGTAAACCCTAAATCCCACATAAACCCTGTATAAGCCTATAGAATCCCATATTACCCTATAGAACCCCATATAAGCTTATATAACCCTGTATACCCCCATATAATTCCACACCACCCTATAAAACCCTATATAATCATATATAACCATGTATAACCTTACATAATCCTATATAACTCTATATGGTCATATATAATCCTATATAACCCTGACATAATCCTATATAATCCTATGTAGAACCCTTCAAGCCAGGAGCTTCAGCTCGGTGAAGGCGACGGCTCCACGGAGCTTGTCGACTCGTGCCTGGTGGAGAAGCTGGAGGCCTCTGGGCTGAGAATTTTAGAGTCTTAAACTTAGGCATAAATGGGGATGTATCGGGTTAACTACGTAGGGAAACACAGGATTAAACAGGATATACGGATATCATTGCCCGAATAATGGGTGTTAGTTTTATACGAACGGGATATTTAGGGTCATGCACGATTTTTTGTATCAGCCGTACCGTCGTAGGGTTTGGCTTTTGAATTTTTAGGGTTGGCGGTTCAGGATTGTAGGGTTTGGGGCTTAGGGTTTTGTGGCTGAGGGGTATTCTTTGTCATACAGCGGTTTCCAAGAATTGTGGGCATGTTTGAGGAGTCCATACCAAGCATTGAGTATCTTGGGTTGCTCAGGGGGTTTCTCACAGTTGAACATGACCCTTGGGGTCATTTTGCACGACTCCTATTCAGAGAAGTTCCCATATGAGTGTTGTTTTATGGAGCAGGATGTGCGGTTTGCGGGTTCAAGGTTCAGGGGCTCGGACAACAAGTCTGTTGGGTCTGTACCTTGATGCTTGTGCTCTAATCTTTTTTGGTCACCTAGTTTTCCATGTATAGGATGCCAACCACGGCAGGTGCCCAGAGTCATGTGAGCTGCTGAGTGGACGGGGTTCCTCACGCTAGTTCTAATGTGGTTATTAAGATATGAACCTCATTTCCATCACCGATACAAGAGATGGATCTTATGCAGGGGCTTCCAAAAACAGGTTGGGTCTACAGAGTGTGGAGTGGAGCTTCCAGGTGAGGAGCAGGAGGCTTTGGCTGTCACCGTACCAGTTCCGTGTTGGTTTGGGGGAGTGTAAGCAGAAAACCTAAACTAGCCCTTACAGCCCCACCAACCCTGAAGCTGTCAGTCACAACCTAGCAATCACCTATGCTGGTACCCTGTAGAAGAACTCCTAGACCCTTACCCCCAGACCCAGCTCTGTCCAGGCTTGGGTGGCCGATCGAGTGCAAACAGTTTCCGGCACGAAGATGGATGGCTTCGTTGTGACATTGCTCCTGGGCTTGAACACCCTTCCGTTAGAGACCCCCTGCTGCCATCAGCAGTTGGGGGACAGCTAAGGTCGTAAAGCACATGGTTAGGGCCTAGGTGATTGGGGGTGTGTTGCCTGTAGCTCAGTTGGAACCAGACCTGTTTCCAGTGTGTTGTATCTCCATCAAGCCCTGAATGTCAAGGGCACCTGAACAAATCCTATGCGTGCCTGGAAGTGCTTGAAATTGGATCCAACTGCTCTACGCGAATTGGCCTTCTACCTTTGGTTCTTACTTTATGACACATTTGGCTTCTCTGATCCCTACAAGTTGGAAAGGGGAGCAGTGGGCTTGCTGGCATACTCGCCCTTTGCCTAGGTCTCACCCAACTGCAGGATCATATAAAGAGTGCATGCCCCACAGGTTATATACGACTTATGATGTGCTTTTCCCACGCAAGTAACTCAGTAACTCCCCTCCCGTGTGCAGTTCCAGGCAGGTGCCACCTATGAAAAGCTTACGCGTTGGAAGTAAAGTCAGTCGCGTACAGGATCTGCGGGGATGCTATGGGTTCTGTTTCGTATTCTGTGGGGGTTTAAAGGTGTGCGTGGTGGGTCTCGGATGATGCACCAAGGTCCGCAAACCCACCATCTGAAGCAAACTTGGCTAAACTTGCAACATAAGCCGAAACTTCAACGAGGCCTTGCTATTCAGGGTTCAGTAAATCATAGGATCACCGGCACGTTGGGTTGACGTTCTGATGCGCGTGCCTGATCAACACCTAGCACTAAATCTTCAGCCCTAGGCAGGTGCTTCTCAAAATATCCCCGCCAGTGACCACCACCATCTGATAGTAATGCTACGCCCAGAGCTCCAAGTTCACCCTTCAAGCATTCCCCAAACCATGCAATCCCAACATGTTCCAACCGCCCTACCAAAACCATAACAAGTTCCAGCGGCAGCAGCACCAGCCACCAGCGCACCACCGGATCATTCAATACCACTACTATGACTGTTACGATTGTAGGCCAATTCCTTGCTGCTGCCTTTGCGAATAGTATTACTGTTGGTATTGCTATCCCTTTTGGATTTTGGTACTGACGTTACAGTTACCCTGACATGTACAATATTTATCAACTTTAACCTCTACCACCACCACCACCGCCGCCGCCGCCGCCGCCACCATCATTACCACCACCACCACCACCACCGCCGCCGCCCCCACCACCACCACCACCACCACCACCACCACCACCATCATCATCACCATCA